AAAAGTTATCTTGTGACGCGTTTCGTACGTCTACGACTTCATCGGACTAAATTTGTTATGCTGGCACGACTACACATGCGTATAAACGAGGGATGCTGGGAATTTTTTAAAAATCTAACTCATTTTCTTTTTCTTTCTATTACTTTTTTTAGTAATGATAACAGAAGTTATGCCAGAAATGTTGTGAGAACTCGGGCGCAAATTTACTATAGATGATCTTGCGATCAAGGTACACTCTAGACATTTTTGTCGGTGTGAATTGCGTTCTCCTTTGAGTAGAGTAGCATTTTTATGTCAAAATGGTGGTCACCATTCCTGGCATAACTTCTATTAGCACAGTGTGGGATATTTAGCTTTTCCCAGGTTATCTGCGTATAATTGAATATAACGACCTCAACGGGAATTAGAACTCGGCTCTTTGGTTAACAATCCCAAGCAGTTATCCATTACACCACACCCACATCCAAGCTTACAGCACCTAGTATTTCTAAGAAATCTCCCATCTAGGACTCAACGTTGCTTAACTTCTGTGATCGTACGCGCAACGATCGAAAACAGCACAGTATAAGAATTCATAGGTCAGGTTAGGAATTTGTTAGCCGCCCTAGCAGGCAGGCATACTCAGATAGGAAGGTCCAGCCATTACTCTATCACTATTTTCATCGTAGAACTACATTCTTTAGTTTCACCAGTGGATACCTTCACAGCCATACCACAAACGCTGAGTCAACACGTCCTTATTCCTTTCATATTCCATTCGTTAGGAGGAAGTTCTGATCAGATAGCTTCTTTCACAGAACTATGGAATGGGCTCAAGAAAAGATGCTTCTCTGGTCCCTACAACTTTAATATTTTCTTAGACGGGATGATTCCGATTTTAGAGATTCTAATTTCTGATTAGACCAACACAGGATCACTTCAAATAAAGGATTCAGTTCGACATTCCAACCACCTGAAGAAGGCCGGAGCGTATAACTGCCGAAACGTTGTGATTAATATGGCGACAAAGATGAGGACAATAGTTCGAAAAATGTAAATAGTGTACAAAATGAGCAGTAATACATTTTATAGAATTACCAACGATATATTTTAACTGTAGTTGAAAGCATACAATTCCGTTCAAAATATATTTTGTTGGATCTATAAAACTGTGTCTAAAATATTTAGATTTCGGCATTAATTAACCCATAAAACAAAATCAATCAAAAAACCTCAAGCAACACCTCACACATTTTATTAAAAAGGGGAAGACGTGGGCTATTCTTGAAGACCCTAGTAGGTAAATTCCGATAGAGCTTGAAAAGGTTTTATCCATAGTTCAGTTCATGTTTAGAGTTCCCATTTTAAATCTGGCCTTGTGCCATACTCCGTTCGAATGGGCGTATAGGTACATACATAGTCAGCTACTAAAAATCTACTAATATTAATGTAATATTTTAAATTAATATTTACTAAAACTGTGTTGTAGTTATTTTCCAAACGTAGATTAGATGTGGCACAAGGCCGAACTCACTACCCAGTCACAATTGTTCTAACGAGACAAGCTTGCTAATCATTACGCCACCTTTGTTGTACACGATATCATTTTGTGAGTCCTAATTATATAACAGGTCCTCTATATAGGTATTCATGATGTTTAGTTTAGTCTAACATAAGGCCACGATTGGAGAGCCCCAACTGAGGTTCGAAATCACTTGCTCCCGGTGAACTCACTATGCGGGTATTTATTGAGTATAACTCAGCTAAGTTCATGTTAGATGTAGATATTTACTAAGCTTTGTTCGGATTATACTCTTAAACTTAGCTCAACAGTTTGTTCTGGATGTAGATAATTACTCAGATTAACTGAAGCTGGTTAAATGCCTCGATAATGAAGCATCAAGTGAGTCTCCAGACGATTAGTAATAGCTAGCGGCATTAGCTTGCTAAACAATGAGTAACAGCATCGGTTCAGCCCTTCCCTGAAAATTGCAATCTAATGCATATAGGTAGAACTGGACGTTTTATGCAAAAACTACACACAGAAGACTAGTATAAAACACGCATTTCGGGGTACGAAGAGGTAAATTTCATACCCCCCCCTACCTGGGTAAGTAGTACTTTTGAAGCGTAGGTTTTGAATGGGAAAAAGACGATACAATGTCAGGGCGAATCATAATGATCAGTTTTGACGATAATGGCCGGACTTCCGGGCGGTTCTTATTTGAAAAGCAGAAAGCAGAAAAAACAACAAAAAAAAAAAAAAAACCCTCCTCCGAATCACTGCGCTTAATAATTCACAGCATAAATTCGACTGACATAAAAATAACGAGAAAAAAGGAAACTTGAATGTTGTTTGTTTCTCTTGCCCGCCATTTTTAAAAGTTCGTCACGAGGAAAAGTAGAAAGCATGTGACGCTCATCAACATGCATTAACTTGGTTCCTTTATTATTCAGTCAAAAATACGTCCAATACAGGAGGATGTCGAACGTCAATATGCACATGTCTATGAGGAGAGAGAAAACAGATTTAAATGTTTAGAAGATTATGCCAAAGACATACATATTTACCGAGAAGGGACAACTCAACACCACCGACTATACACCGGGACAACTCACGACTGTGAAAACTCAGGACTGAGGCAACATAACTTTTTTTTTTAACCGAATAAAAGTAATTTATTAAGGATTAAATCCTTAATTAGTGAATATTTTTCTTCAAATAAGGCATTTGAAAAGGCATTATGTAAAATATGAACCAGTTTTTTGTTTTTAATTATTTTTAATAAAGTAAATTATTTTTTGAAAAAAATATTTTAGAATGCCGATTTACTTTATTAAAAAACAAATTACATTATGATTTACTTTATTAAAAATAATTAAAAACAAAAAAACAGGCTTCATTTTGTTTTGAACTTTTCGATTTACTTTATTAAAAATAATTAAAAACAGGTGTTTTATTTATTTGCTTTTTTTATATGTGAATTTACTTTATTAATAAATATATTTTTTTATGATTGGCCTAGTGAATAAAAGTGTAGGTTTGTGAATTTGGTGACAATGTGGTTCAATCCCTGGGCCGGGTAGTGTGTACTTTCATTCAATAAAAACAGACAAGTATTAACTGAACAAAGCCAAAGAAGATAAGAATTAGGCAATATCCTTAGTGTAACGAAAACAGTCTACCCCCCCCCCCCTGTCGGTTACCAAAATGGATATACACCTGAGGAAGGTCGAATAAAAACAATATGAGGACGACAGTCCCAATATAAATAGCGTGAAGAATTGATAATTATCATTTTTTTATATATATACTAATGTTCATCCAATACTAGGCCGGAGAGCCGCTCAAGGTTGTGGGTTACTGTACGGTGTTGCATGAGAGTAAGAAAGTGTAGGTTGGGAAGTTCATGGGGCTATGAAGGAAAGACAACGGTTAACCCTAGACTTGAAGAGGTTAATATTGTAGTGATTGGGTAAACATCAAGCTCTTCGAATGGAACTTACTTCTATAGGAATTAAATTATATATATATATAGATATATATATTTTTTTTTCAACCAATAAAATCCCATCAGAAGGTTTGTTCGATGAACAAAAATTAATAGGACAAATACCACCGAAAGCGTTGGCGGACGCAGTTGTAGACCTATTACATGTTATTTTTGGACCATTTAGAAAATAACAATAATAACCCCCTTCACCACTTCTGTAAATTCGAGAAAAAGATTTTCGCGAACAGCGTGAAATTATTTTCTAACAAATTCACAAAAGTTCGCACCTCTATATGAAATTAGATTTTAGAGCCCTTGTGTGGACATAAAAATAGAAGCATATTGCTTCTCGGGGTTCAAAAACAATTCCAAAGGTCAGTTTGATCTACACGTGCGTACACACACGCACCCACGCACACCCACGCACACCCACACAATAGAAGGCGGCAGCCATCAGCCGTCGGCTAAGGCCTTGTCCACGCACTAACAGAAACATTAGACTGACCGTCATAAAGTAAGTCTGTCAACACATCTTGCAGTGCGCTAAGAACACTTAATTACTTGATAAAACTAACTTGACTGCAGGGAAAATTGAACATTTTGTTGTTATTATATAATTCTTAGAATAATCTATAAATGTTATTTCAACTGATGTTCTGCTTCTACTTTTCCTTTAGAGAATAACCTTTTTAATGTTTCATTTAAAAGATGTGTTGTTTTTATTAAATACGAAGGGAATGGGGACAATTCTCCTTTGTGTAGGTGGTATGGTGGGTTCCTGTTGTAAAGGTCAGAGATGGTGGAAGTAAGGAATATAGCTCGTCAAGTATTGATAGAGCAGCAAGAGACTCGTAACTTTTCGTATGTTGGAAAGGAGGTTTTTAGGATGGAAAATAATTCCTCACCAACAAAGCCGCACAGACGTTTAGAACTCTATCAAGGCAGGTAAGTGAGGAATGAGCAGCTTCAACCCAGATAATGGCAGCAATACTTCAATTTTGGTCTGATCTGGTTCTTGTAAAGAGAGAGTATAGAAGGGGGAACTCAGGTACGTACTTGAGCCGTACAACAAATAGACCATTTAAAAATAGAAATTAATGGTAAGAACATGGAAGCATTTTATCTAGGTGTGTAGCAACTAAGATTAAACGTATGTAGTAAAATTTGCTCAATCTTCTACATGACCAAATATAAAACAGAAAGATTGTGTTGCGCCAATCTTCCAAGAAGAAAGAATACTGGAAGTCACCATTCGAAATCTTGGATTTTAACGAGGCTCAAAAATCACCACTGGTGTCAATGGTCAAAAGCAACTACCTTAGCCATCAAGCACAGTGACATGTTTTTTTTTTATGATATACCGATTCTTATTTAAAGTATTGCTACGTAAATTTCCCTCTCCTTCAGTCTCATAGATTACACAAAGGAGTCTGGGGCAACACCTCTCAGCAACACTGGGCGTAAGTTTTCATGTGATGAAGTTGCTAACCCCATACCCAACCTGTTTTTTTTTTACCCGGTTTTTGTTTACAGTATCCGATGTTCCCAAACGGGCCCCCATCTAAATACTGACAGGGCTCAAGACTGCTTAACTTCGGTGATCAAACGAGAACCGGTGTTTTAGCGGGTTTTGACCGTAAGTCCTATAATAAATTCACTGGTGGGAAATTTTACTGCGTCAGTCATTAATTATGTTTATGGCGAAACTTATAGTTTGAGTAAGACTTGCTTTAAGGCACATCGAACTGGGAATTGTTTAAATTCCAATGTTAACGAAAGTTAACCCGAAAATATGTCCCAATCAAGAGATTTGATTCAAAGATTTTCAGACAACAAACATTTGAGAAAAAGACAGAGGTGTGGCGGATTTCACGACATTAATTTAACTTTAGATTAGGAAACAGGACTGACGCAGAAAAGGATAAGCCAAAAACATTGTTACACATAAAATATGTATTTAACAAGATGTACAATATCAAACAACGATGTGAAGTAAAACATTCATTTAAGTAAGAAAAGGTTGAATTAACCAAGAGTTGTCTCTCTTTATTTGTTATTTTAGTGTTCAATGAGAAACAATCATTTGGTTCAAAGTTCACTGGAAGAATGTTCATGAGAGTCTCTTGTAATGATTGTTCTTGAAAGATATTGCTGTGTAAGAAGAGTTTATGTGAGTGTGTACAAAGTATGTTCAGCATGTGAGTGGTGTGTGTGTGTGCGAGAAAGTTGGTGCGTAGTTTCAACTGTCGTGGATTCGTTTGGCAGTTGGAATTTTCACTAATGAGATGAAAAAGACCTTAGTTTTTATAGGCGACTGTAAGCTCCAAATCGCTGTGCGGGAAGAATTATTCTTCACGTGCAGACAATCTGATTGGTTGGCATCGCCCAATCAGCGAGGGAGCTTTGAGGAGACTTAAGAAAGCTCCTTTGATTCGTTTCTTCCAAAAGTGCACAAAATTGACTACTTAAAAATAGAGCGATTACAAAATTGTCGCGTTGCTGCGATTTGTAAATTGTCTATAATAACGTAGTGGTGATTAATTATCCAATGAATGCTTGGCGTTGTATGTGATTTGTATTTGTGTATGTATTTATGTTCGTGCGTAATAGATCCGCACAAAGGCAATGATTAAGACAACAAATTTAAGAATAACAACTGAAGACGATGGTGAACTAATGTCCATTACCCATGAACCCATGAACATTTTACTACTTTGCTATGTTTTGAATTTTCTGAAGGTTCATAATTCTTAAGTTAATGATTGAATACGTTCTTTGCGATTTCCATATCCGTAAAACTTGCCCTATTGCACCATTAAATATCTGAACTTAACTCTAGCAAAATAAATGCAGTAAAAGTCATAATTATAAACACAGGTCATTATTTAAAGAGGTACTAGGGTAGAAACGAGAAAAGCTAAAAATTGACAAGGTTTTCTGTTGCCTTGAAGCAGAAGTTCACTGCTCGATCGCGTTTTCTTTCTTTCTTTCTTTCTTTCTTTCTTTCTTTCATTATGTAGACTTCGTTTTTCTCATTAACACCAAACAATGTCTCTGGTATATCTTTTCCCACCGTCTTTCTTCGCAATCGAAACAGAACATCCATTATTTATCCGGGGTAATGGCAGAACGTATAACGTAATTTTCTAATCAATATAATATTATGTTATTTTATTAATGGAATATTACGACATTTTTGGTTTGAAAATATATTTCCAACAGTCTTATAGTTACCAAATAAGCGTGTATGCGTTCTTTCTTTCTTTCTTTCTTTCTTCTTCTTCTTCTTCTTCTTATTATTATTATTATTATTATTATTATTATTATTATTATTATTATTTTTGCATGTTATGCTTCCTGCTTTGTATCTTGTAGAGCCGGGTCCAAACTATGGTTCTTAGGCCCTACAGGAGAATTGTCATTTAATTAATAGTACTTTTCTTAGTCTATGGGATGTTCCTCGTAGGGCGAACTTCTCGGCAACTTGTATGTTGATGTTACTTGTGACATTGTTAGTAAAATTATTCATTTCTTTTCTCGCAAGGCCCGGTGCTCCGATTACTTTTGGTACAGTCTCGGTCTTCATTCCTCATACCCTGTTAATCTTGATCTCCAGGACTTGTATTTGGACAATTTCTCGATAATTTTTTGGAGATGTTTCTCTCAGATGGTACTATTATTATTTCTTTCTTTCATTAAACCCAAACAGTCTTTCTGATATAAATTTTCTTCTGTCTTTCGATGCAATCAAAACGGAATGGTTCATTATTTATCTGAGGTAATTTCAAGCTGCAACAGACGTGTGACTTAAGATACACGCAGAATTGTAATAATATGTTCCATCTAAGTAAGTCACAAAGCAATGAAGATTTGTTTAATTCCATGATTTGTTATGGAAAGCTAACTGCTGTCATTTGGACTGATAATCGAGATTTCAGCATATTTTCAAATTGTGTATACTGTTTATAGAGCAGTCCATTCATGCATCTTTTAAGAGACGTGGTTAGTAATAAAACAACAAGAATGGAACATTATACAGCTGCTTAGCACAATTCTTGTTAGCGACATCATATACGCAAACAAATCAGTAGACTAAATGTCTTCACAAACTTTTACAAGAATAGGGCAATTAGTACGGTTCAAATTGTTAACTTGTAATGTTCAGCCAGACTAGCCCGGTTGTCGGAGTTACCTCCTCCTTCAGTTCGTAACCCTTTCACCAGAGGTCTCTCTTTCCTGGCTATAAATAGCCAATGACCCTTCACCTCGACCTCTTTTTCCCTTTCAGGCCTGTGCACTAACACCCCGTGGTAAATTTCTCTTCTTCCTAGAGGATTTCAACTATCAACCTCGAAATGTAGTCGCTAACAAGAAATAGCGTGAAATCATGCTAAGCACAATATATATATATCGCACACACTGAATATTCACACACACTTCGTCCTTTGTACTGTTTCCCTGTATTGTAACTTGTTATGAATATATATTTGTTGTGTGTACATATATTATCGGTCTTGTTTTGTTTGCTTTCTTTTCCTTCTTCTTTGGACTTAATCAAAGTCCAACCTTTTTATGTAGTTGGGCTCGGCGGGCAGGAGTACCTGAACCTTACAGGCGTTTCGTCCACGTCTGACTTCTATCAACAACAGTAACTGCCACGGCCCCACTACACGCTGACTTCTTTTTCTGCTTCCTCTATAGGCTGCGTCCCTTCAGGACATATGCGATCATGACTCTCTACAACTTCTTATCATTTGGGGCCCTTAGCAGTTTTTCTCTCTTTGCTAAGGCCCCACATCGTTTCGCTAGTCATTCGCACAAGCTCGTCAAGTAAATGGTTCGCTTTTTCCCCTATCTCTCTTTCCTTCAATATACTTGGTAAAGAATCAGCATATATGCTAGGTCACAAAAATCTCCTGAGCCGACCATGCATAGAAATAAATACAATATGGGAACCAGTGATAAGGAGTGCCAGAGAGAAGCGATAATAACAACAAAAATTGCAATATGAGCTCTGGTAAAAACGTGATTGATAACAGCAAAAATTGCAATATGAGCATTGGTAAAAAATGATTGCTGACACATTAGGTTTACAATACCCAGAAATTCATACACAGATGTCCTCAAGGACACATGGCATAGTGGATAAACCCGTTAGATCCAGTGACAGGACCCAAAGAGTGTGAGTTCAATACCTGGCTAAGGCAGTGGAGAACTTGGAGAGGGGAATTAACAGGAGATAACTGATAACTGACATCCATTAAACATGCCACGTGGAACTAGAACAGTCTACCCCAGCGAGCGAAATAAAGGGTTCAGTTCGATATTCCAACCACCTGAAGAAGGCCGGAATGTACACCGGCCGAAACGTTGTAATAAATATGGCGACAAAGATGAGGACAATAATCCGAATAATGTAAATAGTGTACATAATACCTCATCTCAGAAATAATGAAGGGCCGAAACGTTGTAATAAATATGGCGACAAAGATGAGGACAATAATCCGAACAATGTAAATAGTGTACATAATACCTCATCTCAGAAATATAGACAGATACCCGGTAAGGGTTAAGTTTTCCAAGCCTCCCTTCCTCATTGTGCGTCTAAAGAATTTCATTTATCTTCTCCTGGTATATATATATATATATATATATATATATATATATATATATATATATATAAATATACCCGTGAAGGAATCAGCAAAATATGCTAGGTCACTAAAATCTCGTGAGCCGACCAAGCATAGAAATGAATACAATATGGGAACCAGTTTAATAAGGAGGGCCAGAGAAAAAATGTAATAACAAAAAATTGCAAGAATGATCTTTTTCAAAGACATGAATGATAACAGCAAAAATTGCAATATGAGCAAATGAATATATATATATTTGTTGTCGCAATTTTTTTTAGCACTTAATTGTTGCTTACTCATACCATCCATGAAATTTTCAATATCCTTTTGCAAAAGCGCATTTCTGCTGCCTCTAGTGGGGAGATTGTCCACCTTTCATTGCTATATAAGAAGATGGATATCACATAGCAATCCAGCACTGTTTTCTTTGTTTCTAACGGTTTTGTTTTTCCCGTTTCTCAGTGACTTAGCTTTCGAAATGCCTCTAGTCCCAGGCGTCTTCGGATCACGGTGTCGCATCACGGTGTCGCATTTTCAATCCTCTGTTAAAACTCTTCCCACATATTCTAAACTTCTACACTTGCTTGATGTTGACATCTCCCACTCATGACTCACATCTGGGGGCGTTTTCTCTTGTTGATTATCCATGTTTTCTGTTTTGCCGTTGCTGGTTGGTCCTTTTTTTTTGTCTCGCTTTCTTCTGCCACCCTGTCTAGGAGATCCTATTGCTTCATGAAAATAAATAAATAAATAAATTATCCAAAATGACGATAGGTAGTTTTTCTTTGAACTAGTATTTTTCTGTTACGATTTACCCAATTTATTTCTCAGTACATTGATCGATAAAATCATTTTACTTTTATCAAATGATCAAAACCAGACGATTTCAAATTGCATGATACATTTCTCAGGTCGAGGTGAATACAGGGGGGCGGGTGCAAAAGTAGGTATACAGCAATGAAAAACAAAACGGACGCCCAAAACGTATTGATTATACAA